TTTTTTCCCTCTCTCAAATTGACTACTTTTATTTTAGAGACTAAAAATAAAATCTGGCAGTAATACAAAATGAATAAGAACATATTGAAAGAAATCTATTCACTTCCAAATTTACATATTTTAGGGGATTTTCACGTTTTCATCTTTATTTGGAACAGAAAAGATATATATTCTTTCAAGTTCCAAGATGACTTGTCTCCTAGTTTGTCCTTGTACTCTATTTCCAAGTCTAATATAGTCATCTCGATAAAATTTATATTTTAAATTATACCATAAAAAGGCAGCTAGTTTTGCTCTGGATTGCTTATAAATGCTGCCCAGAGGACTTCACATTCTGCCATACTTTCATGGCTTTTCCAAATTATTTCCAGCAACTGGAATCATTCCCAAATAATTCTACAGTAAAGTACTTTTCTTTATACCTGCTTTCTTAGGGCCTTGTTACATGTTGCACTTTGAGCTGCTCAAATATTGATTAATATTAGTGGTAGCTCACATTTGGAGCAGTCACACCTTAAGGCTAAAAACCTTCTCTAACTGGCCTCTACCTGCACAGAAATGCCTTGCCACTAGAGGGCTGGTGAGCAGTGGCCTAAGTAGGAGCTCCAGCTTTGAGTTACCACTACAGGGCTGGTGAGCCAGGACAGGCTTCTATCCCTGCTCTGGGGTGAGGTGTAAGAGATGGGTTGGCAGGAGGCAGAAACATAAAGTTAGGAGGCAGAAGAGTTAATGGAATGGGGTGGGTAATGCAATAGGATGTGGAAAGGAAATGGAGGTGGGGAAAGGACTTTTTAGCATGTACTATTTCTGAAGTCCATGGTCATTCAGTAGAATAAACCGAAAACAAATTATCCATTTGTAGAAATATGCCATTTTTTAGATTATTGAAATCTCAAACTTCAATATTTATAATTGTTTCTAAACTATGTACTATTTTGGAGATCTAAATCAAGAAGTTCTAAATATTTTTTTTATTTTGTTCTTATCAAGATATAGGTTTCACTAATAGTTTTGTCTGAGTTAGAGCTCTATAAAAACTGAAAACTTGGGCCGGTTGGAGAATGCATTTTTCCGTCTCAGAAAATTTCTATTAATACAAAAAAAACCCCAAATCCAAAACCAAACAAAAACTGTTGGCAGAAATGTTCATGGACATATTTAACTCTTTGACAAAACAATGAAAAAATCCCCCAAATGGCTGAAAACTTTCTATTGAAAATTGAACATTTCTATTTGGAAATCCTGGGGAAGTGCTTATTGAGAACCTGAAATCTGTTGTTTCATGCCTCCATTTTCCACTGTTCGTAAAGCTAGGCTTCCTAACTTGACTACAACTTCAGTGATGGATTGTGGTCTCCTCTCCTGGATTATTGAGTTCAGGATCCTGAGGAAAGGAAGGATGGAGAGCAGCAGAGTAAGGATCCTGGACTTCAGAGAAGCAGACTTCCACTCTCTCAGGGAACTCATGGGCAGGATCCCATAGGGACCTAGTCTGAGGGGGAGAGGAGTCCAGGAAGAAGAGTTATTGCTTGGGCTGGCAGGCATGAAGTCAGGAAGGCCAAAGAGCAATTGGAGTTGCAGCTAGCAAGCGATGTGAAGGGTAACAAGAAGGGTTTCTACAAGTATGTCAGTACCAGTGGGAAGATCATGGAAACTGTTGATCCCTTACTGGATAGGGGAGGCAACCTAGTGACAGAGAATGAAGAAAAGGCTCAAGTATTCATTGCCTTTTTCACCTCAGTCTTCACAGGCAAGATCAGCTCCCTGTCTATTGCAGCAGGCAGCACAGTTTGGGGAGAAGGTGAGAAGCCAACAGTGGTAAAAGAATAGGTTAGGGACTATTTAGAAAATCTGGACATGTATAAGTCCATGGGAATAGAGGGGATGAACCCAAGGGGAGTTTTGGGGGAAGAATAAGTTGAAAGAAATGGATTGGATAGGGATATGTAGACAGATTCTATTGGGAGTACTGTGTGAGCTGGCTGCTGTGATTGAAGAGCCACTGGCCATCATCACTGAAAACTTATGGCGATCAGGAGAGGTCCCGGATGATTGGTAAAAGGCAAACATAGCTCCCATATTTAAGAAAGAGAAGAAGGAGGATGCAGGAAACTACAGAACAGTAAGCCTCACCTCATTCCGTGGCAAAATAGTGGAGCAAATCCTCAAGGAATCCACTTCTAAGCACTTGGAGGAGAAGAAGGTAATTAGAAACAGTCAGCAAGGAATCACCAAGTTATGCCTGACCAACCTGATTGCCTTCTATGATGAGATGACTGGCTCCGTGGATGCAGGGACTCAGTGGATGTAATATACCTTGATTTTAACAAGGCTTTTGATACAGTCTCCCACAACATTCTTGTAGGAAAGCTAAGGAAGTCTGTGCTGGATGAATGGACTGTAAGGTAGATAGAAAACTGGCCGCAGAATCGAATGTAGAGGGTAGTAATCAATGGGTCAATGTCTAGTTGGCAGCCAGTATCAAATGGAGTGTTCCAGGGGCCTGTTTTGTTCAATATCTTCATCAACAACCTGAAAGATGGCATAGAGTGCACCCTCAGTAAGTTTGCAGATGACACCAAGCTGAGGGATGCTGGAGGGTAGGGAGAGGATTCAGAGTGATCTAGACAAATTGAAGGATTGGGGCAAAAGGACTCTCATGAGGTTCAATAAGGACAAGTGCAAAGTCCTGCACTTAGGATGGAACAATCCCATCCCCTGGTACAGGCTTGGGGCTGACTGGCTGGGCAGCAAGTCTACAGAAAAGGATCTGAATGTTACAGTGGACAGCAAACTGAATTTAAGAAAGCAATGTGCCCTTGTTGCCAAGAAGCCTAACAGCATACTGGGCTGCATTTGTAAAAGTGTTGCCAGCAGATCAAGGGAAGTGATATTCCCCCTCTATTTAGCACTGGTGCAGCCAAATCTGGAGTACTGTGTCCAGGTTTAGGGCCGTCCTCCCTCCCCCCCGCTATAGAAAGGATATGGACAAATTGGATATTCCAGTGGATGGCAATGAAAATGGTGAGGGGGCTGGGGGACATGACTTAGGAGGAGAGGCTGAGGGAGCTGGGTTTATTTAGTTTAGAGAAGGGAAGACTGAGAGGGGGATTTAACAGAAGCATTCAACTACCTGGAAGGGGGTTCAAAAGAAGATAGGGCTAGACTGTTCGAAGGGGTGGCAGTTGACAGAGCAAGGAGCAACCCTCTTAGGTTGCAGGAAGGGAAGTTTAGGTTAGATATTAGGAATAATTTTCTCACTAGGAGGGTGGTAAAGCACAGGAACAGGTTACCAAGAGAGGCTGTGGAATCTCCATCCTTTGAGGTTTTCAAGACCTGGCCAAGACAAACCCTTGGTTGGGATGATGTAGTTTGGGATGGTCCTGCATTAAGCAGGGGTCTGGACTAGATGACCCTCCTGAAGTCCCTTCCAGCCCAAATTTTCTATGATTCTGTGATGGGATTCACGGAACATCATAGTAAATGTGGTTTGGCTGGGAATATCTATTCACACAGGACAGTGAATGATGATACATACAGATAACCATTCCCCAGAGGTACCATAGTAAGTAGAATTTCTGATTATCTTGTTATTTTTTATCGCTTTCGGCTAGATTGTTTTCTACATTCATTTCCTTTCTTTCTTTCTTTCTTTCCACTAAAAATATTTCCATGGAAAATCTTCAACCAGACATATAAAACAACAAAGTATCTACATGTTAATTGCTCAGCAATACACTGTAATGGTTTCACTACAGCTGCTCAAATAATATTGTGTGTGTTATTTATTTATACAACTTTATTCTCATTTTAAAACTTGTATCACTGATAAACAAATTCAATTTATCACATGACATGATACTTTATAGAGCTGAAGGCAGCAGACTCAGTTCTCTCAACCTTGTAGTGTTAATCTAATTCTCTCATAACTTTAAATTTTGTGTAGTATGTTCTTGTAGTACAGCATGTCTTTTATGCAGTTAAATGGCTCCTGTGCACCAACAGCTGCATTGCTGTACTGAGTGAGGCAACTCTTGCATAAGAGTTCACACATATGGATTGATGATCCATGTTCAAATTTGAATGAAAAAGGCAATGTGTTGCTATTATTACTGCCAGCAGGCTATTCGCTTACGTTCAGGTTACTACATTTAAGAGAAGTCAATGTTTTATTACTTTGCACAGTGGCAGTATCCTAGCCAACAAGGTCAATCCAAGGTGCAATTATTGATAACTTAAAACTTTTCTTACTGTTTTCCCATTTCTCATCAGAATATTTGTTAATGTCATATTGGTAAACATCATTTGGAATATTCAGAGACATTCAAAGGAGACATTTTGTAAGCAACACTTCCCTGTTTTAGTTTTTAAAGAGCTGTAATAAATTGATTAAGTTTTCACAATAATGAGTATAATGTTTTTGCTTCTATGTATAGTTTGTCTGTATTAAGGTTCACATTTTGGGGCCTCTGTCAGATACATCATGGAAAGAATCATACATTCTGCTAGTCACTAACTTGGGGGTAGACTAAGTAACACACTTTAATGATTACATTGTCGTCTTTTACTGGTCAAGGTAACCATCTCATTTAGGTTCTCTCTCTCTCTCTCTCTCTCCCTCCAAATAAGCAACTGCAACAGATGTTCCTGCTTACTAATGGAAAGATTATATAAACAACATTCTCTGTGTTACTGTATTATAGAAGCTTTCCAACCAAACCACTTTGGGAATAAATAGACTGCTGAACTTGTAACTCATTATTCCATCTCTTTACTGCTTTACCTTCACAACAGATTTACAAACCTTGTAAACTGATCCCTAAAAGAGACCCAGGATATGCATCTTCATTGATTTACCTGCTCTTCAGCATCAGAATGTAGAATAGCCAGCTTGTAAAATATATGGACCAACTTGATTGTTAAAGACAGACAGCTTTAAAAACAAGAAACTTTGCACTTTATTTATATTAAGCTCCTATTCCCAAGTGGATTCATCTTACGTTCTGAGAATCACACTCCTGGATGCCTTGGTTTCCTTCTTTTGCTGAGGCAACTTGAAGGGTCTCTTTCTCTGTGGATGCACTTTGCTGAAGACAGGGAAGAGAAGTGAAAGTGAAAAAATTATATCAAACATACACATGGGTTACAAACATATCACGCACAAAAATCATGCTTGTGCACAGAATCAGTTGTAAATAATTGACTATCATAATTGTTATTTACTATCTACTTTGTATTTTCTACCAGTGCAGATATGCTATGTTGCCTCCCCCAGTTTGCCCATCCTGCCTCTATGCAAAGGTGTGTCTGGGTTGGGGGAAGATGTAGCATCCAGCTACTTTGTGTTAGAGCTGTTAAGAGCACCTCTACACTAGAAAACTTTATGACTGGCCATTTAAGACTAGTTGGTTTTATACGCTCTACCATCTCAAAGAAGTAACGATATTGGAACAAAATAAACAAATCTGGAACAGTGTTTTATATGGAATTTATACAATAGTTAGGTAGATACATCAGCAGAGTAGTTTTGAATAAATGTTAATATTTCCAGGTTCTTTTAGCCTTCACAAGAACTATAGTAGAGGATAAGACAACAAATACATTAAAAGAAAATATATCATTACAACTGAAGAATTATTTTAAAGGCAAATTGGGCATCAACAAGTGTCCATTTTATAGGGGTTTGCGAAGCTTTCAGCACTGATTCAATACAGAGACATTTTGGCCCAATTCAGAAGCCGAATCACCAAATCAGGAAAAAAACCCGCCTCCAAATCAATTTGGAACATCCAAATCTATTTGCAAAAGATTTGGAAAAAGATTCAAGGATTCAGTGGTTTGAAAGGCAGTCTTTCAGGGGAACAGAAACTGAGAAGGGGGTGGGGTGGGGGAGGAAGACTGACATCTGTAGCTGGCCATTGACTGATCTTTCCCTGAGTCCCCTTCCAATCACAGTGCTCTGAGGAAGGGACATAGAAGCAGCATATAAGCCTCTGTCTGCAGCCTTTCTGTCCCTTTTGTGAGCTGTTTCTGCCTAAGAAACAGCACCTGAAAGGTAATACTGGACTGGCTTGGCTTCCTAGTCAGTCTCCTGCTAGTCTGTCTTCTTGGAAAGGATTGGATACAGCTTACTAATCACCCTTGCCTAGAATCCCTCTACTTATCCCTATCCAATCCATTTCTTTCAACTTATTCTTCCCCCAAAAATCTCTTATTTGTTCTTGTTATTTTTTTTATCCCAACTTTTTAAAAAGAAAGCTATGTTTTCCCTGCTAGTGTGATCCAGCACTGTTCAGGAAAGTACATACATTACACACACACACGCATGCAGTAAACAAAGAAGAATATATATTAGTTAGTTACAGACACATATAGTAATCAGAGAAGAACAGATATTAAGATTATTTATTACACACACAAACGGAGACGAGATATTAGTCAGACACATACAGCAATCAGAGAAGAAGAGATATTAGTTAGTTATACACACAGACAGAAAAAGAGGTATTACAGTTGCATACACACACACATTTTCCAGCACAGCAAAGATTAATATGAAGCATGCTGGAAAAGCAGGTGCCAGGTCTCCTGGCGGGGGAGGGAGAGGGGCTAGAGGGAGCAAGGGGAGAGCTGAAAGTCCTCCCCCACCCCCAAACAGACATTTCCTCTTTCCTGGCAGTGATGAGTCTTCTGCTGCCAATGGAAACAAGGAGGTGGGAGCAGTACCTGTCCCTGCACCTGCACCACCTCCCCTAACACCAGAAATAGCCACTAGCACCAGTACCTCCTCCACCCCAATTTCATCTCCCAGTGTGAGCCTCCCAGTGCCAGAGGAACTGGATCTGGAAGCAGGAGACCTGAGCACCCTAGCAAAGGACATTCTGGGGAACAAGGGGAAATCTGAGTTTGTTCTCCACACCCCTCAAAGTTCCCTTAGAGCCAGGTCTCCTTCTTTGGAAAACACCTTAAAGGAGGTTGAGGTTGTGGAGGCAAGTGTCTCAGCTGAGTCAGCTCCTCCTGTTGTTGTGTCTCTGCCGGCTGAGGAGGGGGATAAGGCAGGATCCCCACCCTCAATCCAGAAGTGGGTGGGTAGTGTAGTGTGGGATCATTTTGAGGTGGCAGATTATCCCAGGCTTGCTATCTGCCATCATGGCTGAAGGCAGATCAGGCAGGGCAAGTAGGTGGAACACTTCACCACCATGGTGATGCTGCTGCAACTCAGGAGGCAGCACCCCCTGCCCTTGCTCCTTCTGAGCCTGGCACCTGTGGGAGTGTGCCCAAACGGAAGTCCCCCTCTCACTCCAAAGCCCCCGTCCCCATAAAGCAGAGGCAGGCTACCCTGGAGTGGTGGGGAAAAGGCAGAGACAAATGTGGGGGGCATTCCAAAAGCAAGTAAGGTCACCCAGAACATTGAGGAGATGCTTGTTCTGGATGGTCAGCCCTCCTCCTTAGTTGAGTGGCAAGGGTTCAGGTGGTTCATGGCCCCATACTACCAAGTGCCTGCATGCACCACCTTTAACAGGATGGTGGCTTCCTCTCTGTATGAGGCATGCAGGGAGTACTTGATGGAGGGGCTGTGCAAGGCAGGTCCACAGGTAACTGCACTTCACCTTGGACATCTGGAGCAGCCGGGGTGGATACCATGCCTACCTCTCCCTCACAGGGCATTGGTGCCATCAGTCAGGCTGTTGGTGGGTTTTCCTTCAAGCCGAGGTGATGGATGAGTCCCACACAACAATAGAGATCATGGTGGCCATGAACTGCATTGTGCAGTGTTGTCTCATTGGATAGGGTGAGCTCACCTGCAGGTTCATGGTCACTGGCAATGGGGCCAATATGGTCAAGGCAGTCCATGATGCCAACTTTGTTGGCATCCACTGTGTGGCACACAAGTTGCACCTCATAGTCAGGGATGCCTTGGAGGGGGACAGGACTGCCAGTGGTGGCACCATCACTAGCACCCAGATGATTTCAAAATGCAGGATGGTGACAGGCTACTGCCACTGCAGCATCAAGGGGGGCAAGATGCTGCAGAAGAAACAGGCAGAGCTGAGCATCCCAAAGCACAAAATCATACAAGATGTGGAGACTCAGTGGAAGTCCACATACCTGATTCTGGAAAAGCTGGTGGAGCAACAGAAGGCCATCCATGAGACAGCCTTGCTCAGGGAGATTGGGATCAGCAGCTCCCCTAACAAAGTGGAGTGGGATACCATTTCCCAGATCTTGATGGTCTTCAAGCTGTTTCTTGAGGATACTGAGTACCTCAATGCTGGTGATGCCCTCCTTAGCCAGGTGATCCCGTAGTGAGGGAGCTTGAGAACCAAATGGAGAAGTTCCAGGGGATCAATGTTCCTGACTGGGGCAAGCTGCTTTCACCAGAGGTGGAGGAGGGCATCAAAAAAATGCTGGATACATTGCAGTCCAGTACGGTCTATGTGCTGGTGGGCATATGTGACCCGAGGTTGAAAGGGAGCATGTGCAGCACCAAAACCCTTGATCACTGGATGGAGGTGCTGGTAAACAGAGTCAGGGAGGAAAAAGGGCAGAGGCAAGGAGATGTGGAAGAGGGGGATCCACTTTCCCATGCCAGCACCCCAGCACCAGCCAGTCTCTTCCACACCAACTGCTACCAATGTGGGCCAAGGGCTTTGCTTCAATGTCGGGGTCCAGACACACCAAACCCCAGTCTTGGGCAGGTAGCACCAAGGCTTCGGTGGCTACATATTTCACCAATGACATGGAGCCACTGGACTGCGACCCCTTGGGCTATGGGGCAACTCACAGCCAGCTGTGGCAAGATCTGGCCACAGTTGCCCAGGAACACCTGTCCTGTCCACTAACCAGTTTTCCAAGTGAGAGGGTGTTAAGGATTGCTGGGGACATTGTGACACCCCACTGCACTTCCTTGGATCCTGGTTTGGTGGAGCAGCTGGTGTTCCTGAAGGTAAACCTGCCGCTGCTGGGGTTCCCCAAAAAACACCTGCAGATGGAGTGAGTGCCACCCTCCTCACTCCATCCACACCTATTTCCTTTTTTTAAAAAATGTTTACCGCCCCAGTCTCAGAGCTGGAGGCAACACTGACTACATCACCAGCTAGCAGGGGAAGAACAGCTCCCTGCTGAGCTCCTGTGCCAGGACAAACTTGGAGGTATGGGCTGGGGCTATGGGGAAGGAGGCAGCCCAGGTCCTGAGCATGACCTAAAACTGCACTCTGCCAGGGTTGGGAGGCCTGGTGGGACTGCCAGCAGTGTGCCAGCCCCAGAAAATGGCAGGACCAAGGACCTCCCTGGTGAAAGGTGGATAGGAGGCACCTTATAACCTCCAGCCACCACACACATGCACAGTCCTGGCTAGGGAAAGCCCAGATGTGTAAGATCTTTGAGAGGCCTGAGGCTTTTCTGGTTGCAGTGGAGTTGTGAGGCTCCAGGTGAGCTCAGCTGCTTGGGATGTCATTTGCGAGGCATGAGCTTTTGGGTTTAAAACCCTTTGTCAGGCTGAGGAAGCACCTGCAGTTGGTGTGTGTGTATGTGGTGTTCCTGGATGGAAGGAATAGTAAAGAAGCCATAGGTTGGCATACATTAGGGATATCAGATTCTACTGGTCCTGCAGGCCAAAGAGGGGCATGGGGCTGATCTGCAGGCTAGATCAGGCCCATGGATGCCATATCCAGTGCAGGTCTGGTATGGGTGCCACATGCAGCTCATGCCCTGAATCAGTCCTGCACACTGTATGCAGCACATGTGTCACTTCAGACCTGTGTTCCATGTGCAGCATGCAAAGCCAGTTCAGGATGTGCATCGCATGCACTCATGAGACCAGGTTTGGAGAGTGAGCTGTACATGGTGACCACCCTGGATTTGCCCTGCATGCTGTGTGCAGTGCATGCTGGCTCCAGCCTTGCGTATTGCATGCAGTATGCAGGGCTGGGGCTGCCACATGTTATGTTGCACGTAGCACACAGAGATAGTCAAAGACTCATAGGAAGCATCACGAATCATGTGATAGGGCTCAACAAACTGTGCTCTTGATACCTCTGATCTAACAGTTATAGTTGCATAATCCTGTAGCAATAAAAGCTAGCTA